GTTTGTGGCTCCCTGCCTGACTGAAGAGTCTCCCTTCCTGACATGACACTGGGACTACCTTCCAATACTTACAGTGTCACAAGACCTGCCTCCCTCCTGCATACATCCTGACAGGGGGCTTGTCTGTAACGCTCACCGAACTGCATCTGTTGTGTTTTTATTCTCATTTTTCTTGTTTTAGTGAATTGATTTTGATATAGAACCAAGTTCTCACTATTTTGTATGTGGAATATGAAGAGAAAAGGAAGAACTAAGGCAAGATACCAAACAATCCCCTTTCACTCCCCTGGCAAAAGTGGAGGGAAGGCAGGGAGCAATTTGCCTTTTAGGATATCAGCAGCAATTTAGATGCTTCTGTGCTGGAGTGGCCAGTGCCCTCTTTTTCCTCTTCCTTTTCTCTGCTTGTGTGTACTTCATGCTTTGTGTAGCCTAAAGTAGGTTGGGGAGAGACCAAATGAGATAATAGCAGTGACAGTGCTTTGAAAAATATAATGGGCTTTACACAGCTTGAGATTTTCTCTATTTGCCATTGATTATCCCAGGAGTCAAGAACTTACTGAGAAGTACAGAACTTATTGAGAAGGAACCATAAATATTAATAACACATTTGACACCCAGCGCCTAGTGAAGTTCAGGTTTTCATACACACACACACACACACACACACACATATACGTATATATGTATATACATAAACATATGCATACATGTGTGTACATATATATTTTCATATATATATGAAAAATTGGGCAAGTTCAAAATTTGTCCAGAAACAAAATCTGGAGTACTTGCACTTGCCTGTCAACTATAAGGTGGAAAGCAAACACCACCCGTGCCCTCCTTTAACACTTTAATATATGGGCTATAAGTTCATTAATCTTAAAATTAAATGAAAATTCTTCAGAGAGCAGTATTATTTGAGTTTTTCACTTTCAGAATTAGTTACAATATTTGATGAGATTTCTGTTGCACGGATTAGGATTTGGATGTTGTTCGATTCTATCCTGATTTAAAATTCAGAGCTATAAAATAAATTCCCAAATTTCATGCCAAAGCACTAGAGAGGCCACTAGACACTGTGTTAGTTTAGGATTCTGACTTAACCTGCGTAGGTACACATGAGGGCCTAATGCTGAAGTTGACAATTTGAAGTGTGTATTCCTGACATGATACTGGGACTACCTTCCAATACTTACAGTGTCACAAGACCTGCCTCCCTTCCGCATACATCCTGACAAGAGGTTTGTCTGTAATGCTCACCGAACTGCATCTGTTGTTTTTTTTATTCTTATCTTTCTTGTTTTAGTGAATTGATTTTGATATAGAACCAAGATTCTCACTATTTTGTATGGGGAATATGAATTGGTGGATGGATACCTGGATGGATAGACAGGAAGAATTATCTACCATTTGTCAGATAAAGTCCTAGATATTTTTGTGTATAATAGTCCCAGTGACCCCATTAGAGGGAAAAGTCATAGGCTCT